GTAATACACCAGCTTCTCCCTTCACCTTCTGCCACAATTGTGAGCTTCCTGAGGCCCTCACCAGAAACCCGGCTGATGTTGGTGCCATGTTTGTAGAACCTGCAGAACTGTGAGCCAATTTAATCTCTTTTCCTTATAAATTTTACAGCTTCAGGTATTTATTTATAGCAATGTAAAAAAAAAAAAAAAAAGGCGGGGGGTGGGGGACTAATACAGCATGCTTGCTATATTTGATAAACTGCAGGGAGGCCATTATGCCTGGAGTGGAGTGAGCTAGAGGAAGAGTGGCAAAAGGAAAGGTCAGGAACATTAAAATTATGCCAAATCATACAGCCCATGGTAAGGGCTTTAGATTTTACTTATAACGAGATGAGAAATATAAAAAGGTTTAGAGCCAAAGCGTAACATGAAAAAGGGTCACTTTTGTTGTTGATTTTGAAACAGTCTATAGAGTATGCTATGGTCTCAATATTTGTGTCCCCCCCAAATTCATATGTTCAAATCCTAACACTCAAGGTGATGGTATTAGGAGGTGGGACCTTTGGAGGCTAACTGTTCATGAGGGCAGAGCTCATAAATGGAATAAGTGCCCTTATAAAAGATATCCCAAAGAGCTTATTCATCCCTTTAGCCATGAGGTTCACAATATGAAAATGACTCTTTGAGGAAGGTGGCCATCATCAGACACAATCTGCTAGTGACTTAGTCTTGAACTCACCAGCCTTCAGAACTTCAAAAAATAAATGTGTATCATTTATAAACCACTTAGTCTATGTTATTCTGTTATAATATCTCACATGATCTAAGATGGTGGAAATGGGAGGATCAATTAGAAACAATGTCAGTTACACAAGTAAGAGATGATAATTTAGACCAAGGTTATTTACGAAGGTGGGAAATGATTAGTTCCAGAACTTTGAAGGAAAGAACCACAGAATTTGCTGAGAGACAATACACAAAGTGTGAAAGAAAAAAGGAAGCGAGAATGAACTCTATTTCATCATTGAGTAATTAGTTTCTATCTACTAAAATAGAGAGAAATGAGGAGAGAGGAGATGTGTGTTTTGAACTGATGAACTTTGAAATTCCCGTTAGTCATTCAAGTGGAAATAGTGAGAGATCATATAGATAGAAACTGGATTTTATCACAGGTCAGAGCAGATTTTGCATTGGTTGTGCTGTTCTGTCAATGTACTTCAAGGCACATATGTTTCAAAGTTTTTTTTTAATGTGAACATTAAAGTTTTTTTGTAAACAAAATATAGTTCATATATCTTTTTAGATTCCTTAAAGCTGTAGTGTCAAGTGAAATCCAAACCTACCTGTGGTGTGTCGTTAAAGTTTTCCAAAAATAAGTAAGTAGCATGTAAGAAAATTGTCGCTTAACCCACTTACTGTTCGTATATGTAAACATTAATAGTTGAAGGCATGTAAATTATAAGAGTTTCCTATACAATCATGGATAGGTTTTATATTTGTTCTATCACCATTATAAAAACACATAATTAGCCAAGGTTGTTCATAGTGAACAGTTTAAAATACCCATTAAGTAAGCACATTGGAAAAAAAAAGATATATTCCTAAATGATCATTCTGCACCAGTTTTGTTCAATTCAGAATGGATGCAGTGAAATTTCCTTTCCAGTTTAAGTAAGAATCACCATAGAAATTTTTATTTCATTTATTTTTATTGCCTTTTCGTGGCTAGAAAATGTTCTGTTTGCCTATATAGGATTTTCTCAGATGCTATTAAAATTATTCATCCACCTTTGAAAAATGGCACAAATGAATAAAAAAGTTTTTCAAAAAAAAAAAAAAAGATTTCAATCTGGTATAAAGTTAATGACTCAAAATTATCTAGTAATACTGAGGTCAATTTTTATTATTTAGACTAACAGTCTGCTACCTTTGAAGCACTACAGTAAAATATTTTGACATATAAATGTTCTTCTTTTTAACACTAGAGCCAAAGAAGGATATAATCATAATTACTACATTGATGGTCATCAGATAATCTGGAGAGCTTTACAAAAATCCAAATTCCCACGTGTAGATGAACTGAATCAGAAAACCTGGGAGGAGTGCCAGTAATTGAAACTTAAAAACAAAATCTAGAGGAGTCATATGATGGCTTACACTTGGAACTCACTGGTGCAAACTCTACTGGTGTGATTTTAAATAACTAAAGTTCTTTATAGAAAGAAAGGAGAAGGAGAGAAGAAAAAAGACCACAGGTGAGTGAGCAAGTGAGTGCCTTCCTGGACACTGAACTCTCAGAGACAAAAGTTGTACACGAATGTTTGCATGGAAATAGATGTAGATACACACACATATTATTGTTGGTATTGTTATTTTTGTTTTGGTCAGAATCCAACATAGTTATGTCATATAGTAAATGAAACCAGAAAAAAAATCTCTCCTCCTAAACTTGATTCTCATATAAGGATTACAAGAGAGTGTCATTCCAAAAAATGTAATCAATGATACCACATAAAAGAAAAAGCAATGATTTTAAATTCTCTCAGTCAAGGGGCAGCAGGTTTTATAATGGGCTCTTTGTTTTTATTTCTTATTATATCCTAGTCTAAATACAGGAATCTAACTGACTCCACTATGTTCGATATTGTAAAGTACTGGAAATGGGGATTAACTTTCCTGGATTAGTTTTCAATTAGGCAAATAACTTTCCACCCTAAGATGACTTTGCGCTCCATAATTTTTGAGAATTAATAATATATCTTTTTGAGGGTTCATCTTTCTGTTTGTATATAACTAAATGTGTTCATGTCAAAGGGTATCTTTCAGCTAATAGTTGCCCATCGGATTAATGGGAAGAATGAGGTAACATTAAGCATCTTATCTCCTATTCTGGCAGAGAGACCATGAAGGAGACAAATTTGGAATCTAAAAGTTCACCCTAAATTGTATTTATAGAGTGACTTGCTGAAACTGTTTTAAAGTAATAATTCAAAATAAATCTCAGGCAAGTCTTTGAGTAGAAGGATAATTGAATTGGTATGTTTCTATTATAATATTTAGTATATAGTATTTTCAACTTTGGGGAATGTATATTCTTGGAAAATTAAAGAATTCTTAAAAATCGTTGAGGACACAAGTTTTTAAACTTTTTACACATATAAGAGAAATCTGTATTTGAAGAAATCCTTTAAAGGGCCTTAAATTGAGTCTTTTTTTTTTCTGCCTTCTTTCATTGCTCCCTATTATATCCCCTTGTGTTGTCACTTATGAATGAAGTGCCACCCTTCTCAAGGTAGCACATATCAGAAATGTATGTGGCTTTATTCCAAAAAAGTAAGACCTTCGTTAGAAAGTTTTATTTTATTATTAAAAAGAATCATTTGTGATCCCAAATAAATTCTCCAAATAATGTCAGTATAGAAAAGAAATGGATGCATTTTAAGCATCACAAAGAAATATTTTAGGGAGATCAGTAATAGGCACGAGTGATAGATGCGAAGAAACATTTCCTGAATTTTAGCTCACCAACACATGTTTCTTATTGTTGCTTGTGCAATAGTAGTAGCTAGACTAGCTCACAGATCTTATCTATACATTGATACATTTCCCCACATAATTTGCTTGAAAATAAAAAGCACTGCCTCAGTTCTATATACAAGCAACCTATTAATCTCAATGTTGACTCCAATTGAACAAACATAATTTATTTTAACAGAAACACCCAAACAATGAACTAGAGGTGGAAGAGTTTTACATAGTGAATTTCGTTGCCAGTTGGGGAAAAATGCAGAAAATAGGAATACATATATTGATGCTAAATTAATATTGAAATTGTATACATCTAGATACATTGTGAGAAATTTTCCCCAAAGCCTATACAAATCTTATAAGTATATAGTGTTATTGTGTTAGAGAGCCATCAATTATCATGAAATAATATTTCTTTTAAAAAAGAAACTAACCAATAACGTTAAAATCGTTAATTAAAAAAAAAAAATTCTCCTGCTGCAGCCAATTTGGAATTCCATTTTTTTTTTTTTTTCAAGATTTGTGAAAACAGAAGTATAATGAATTTTTCACCTGGCTTAAGAAAATCTTAACGATTAGAAAAACAAAGTTATATAATTATTTTTAAAATATTTAAATGTGACTTTTAGAAGTGTTTAATTTTACTCTAATGATAAATATAAATCATATTTATCAAAATATTTATATTGAAAATATAAATCAGCAACTATGAAAATATTTATTTGCCAAAATGTTATCTTTTTAGAAAAGTAGACATTTGATTATTTCAAAATGTTTAAATAATGTTTATACCAATAGTTATTATCAACAAAGTACATTTTTTCTTAATTTATAGACATTGACTTGTTAGGTTTATATATTCATAAAAAGTATCCATAGTCATAAATGCAAAAGATCCTTCATATATTAACAAAAATAAATAAGTTATATTATAGACAATATAATATAAATAGAAATAAATCACTATTATATTTCTTAAAGAAATGACCATCGAATGACCATCAAAAAGCAAGTTGTTTTTTTCCAGAAATAAGATTTTAAAAATTATGATTTATGGGAACAGAGAAAGTAGACAACAAGGTGAATAATGAATTGCTTTACCTTTTAAGTGTTTAAACATTAACAAAAATAAGACAAAGAAAACATATTGTATGATGGTCATTTGATGATGTTTTATATATGATACTTATTAGGCAAGACATTTGGCATTAAAGTTTTCTTATTTTGGTATTATTAAAATATTAAAATTCATGTATCATAAAATAAAAAATTACCTTTTATTATAAATAAAAATTGGAAAGAAAGCATACTATTTTAATGGAAATAATAATAGAAAATGAGAATTATTATATAATTTGACTGCATAAAAGGCAGAATCAACTTACAGTTAATACTATATACATTCACACATATATAGGCATATATATTTATCTACTGGTGTATATTTAATGGCTAAAAATGATCAAAATACAAGTATGTCTGAGTTCACCTACCTTAAGAACATCTCCTTGTGCTAAATGAAATGTTCTGGCTGAAATATTGATTCCCTTGCCTGCTTGAACCTGAATACTATAAATGCATTCATGGTTGTTTTCATAGTTGAGTGGATAATTTGGAGACAGCAAAATTCCTTCATTATTTGTTGCAGATGCACCACATTCAGCTGCAGGTAAAACAGAATATTGAAGTATAGTTTAATAGATAGTAGTACCATTTTCAAGCAATGTCATGTATGGAAGTGTAATGCATTTTATTTTACCTAAAGTTTAGCAGAAAAATAATATACAGAATGACTTTATGTTGCAAATGATTAATTCCCTCCTCAAATAATATATGGGAGGAAGAGACTACAGCTCATGGAGAGGACAATTGTGTACAAATGAAAATATACAACAGTTGTAGTAATTTTCCCCCTGGATTAAAAGATAGCATAGGAAAGGATGAGAGCACAATTTTAAGAATGTATTTTGCATTTGTAGATTTCTGATAAATGAATACATTTAAATTTATAATTTAGCTCTTTTAAATGAAAGGGACATATATTAATTTTGGTTTTGAATAATTCTAACTTGATCTTTTAAAACATTTGTACCTTTTTAATTAATTTGACCCATCTTTTTTCTCCTAGTGCTCAGTATTCTGCTGATACAAGAATTTCAATAATAAAAAGGGAATCAAATATTACATTATCTTTGAAAACTGATATAATAGTTAAACCCCCCTGGTAATAATAGTTAACCAATAATTGTAACAAATTGGGCATCTTTGGAAATTATATCACCTTTCTCAGTATAGAAAATTAGACTACATGAAGGCATTCTCATAATAGATAAAATGGTTTTGCTAAACCTTCAGGACTAATTTTGCAAAATTTGAGGAACTGTCTAAACATTTAGGAAAATGTGAGAATTTCTCAACAAATTTAGCTCGAATTTAATTTTAATGTATTTCAACATAAAAAGCTTGTGGCAGTATTGAAAAAACAAACAATAAGTCCTTAAAAGTCTTAAATATGTTTCAGAAATTCAATAAACTCAGCTTTCTATCTTAATCTAATAACTTTATGTTACCAAACCACAGGGCAAAAATATTTACATTTTCAAATATTTAACTGAAAAGGAAAAAAAAAAAAAAAAAGCAAGTTGTTTTTTTCCAGAAATAAGATTTTAAAAAGAATGATTTATGGGAACAGTCAGAGAAAGTAGGCAACAAGGTGAATAATGAATTGCTTTACCTTTTAAATGTTTAAACATTAACAAAAATAAGACAAAAGAAACAAAAGCCTATTGAAATAAAAATGATCAAGAAGAAGCAGTCAGTATAATATCAACATTGTGGCCGGGCGCGGTGGCTCACGCCTGTAATCCCAGCACTTTGGGAGGCCGAGGCGGGCGGATCATAAGGTCAGGAGATCGAGACCACAGTGAAACTCCGCCTCTACTAAAAATACAAAAAACTAGCCGGGCGTGGTGGCGGGCGCCTGTAGTCCCAGCTACTTGGGAGGCTGAGGCAGAAGAATGGCAGGAATGCAGGAGGCGGAGCTTGCAGTGAGCCGAGATCGTGCCACTGCACTCCAGCCAGGGGGAGAGAGCGAGACTCCGTCTCCAAAAAAAAAAAAAAAAAAATCAACATTGTGTGAAATAATAATAAAAACTAATGGTGTTATACTAACAGACAGTATTACACAATAAAAGGTTCCTCTAAATTCCTTTTAAAGAAAAAAAAAAACAAACTTCCAATACTGATTTAAATAATTTTAATGTTACTTAAACATGTTCAAAAAATAGATACATCTTTATACTTTTAGCTGCATACAGTTATAATACCAAACCAGTTTACAAATACAGGAACAAAATGACAAAAACAATAAAATAAAAAATAGCAACATGTATCTAATGAGGCATAAGGTTTTGTTTTCCTAACATTAAATCGCCTTTGGCAATGTGGATCATGTAACAGCTGCTTGAGTGTAGGCTTTTGGAGTTTGCTACACCTTTAATTACTCTATGCTGTGTAACAACTTGATTCTCCCTCATATTATGCCTCTGTGAACTGCTGAGAAACTTTCATCTGCATAGTGCAAGAGAATGCCAGGCATCTATCACTTAGTGGAAATCATTTACATTTTATTTGTACTTTATTTCTTTCTACTAGCTTTTTGGAATATAAGTATGTTTGTGGGGGCATGAAGACAAATGTAATCTGGATTACACAGGTGATCTAAAATGCACATATATTTTTGTCAATTAGATTATTTAGAAGAAAATGCTAATTATTTTAAATTATTTTACAGAGTCATGAAGTTTTGAAAATATAAATGGTTTTAGTTCTTGTCTGTAATAAGTTGACACAATATTTTTCAATTGCACATCTAATCTTGCACTTTCTGGTTAAAATATACTGATGATCAGCAAGTCAAAATCCAGAGAATGTCATACAAGGCCATTTACAAAGTGATCCCAGTGTGCCTGTCCAGCTATTACCTAGCCTTCTCTGCCATGGACCTTGCAATTTAGCTACCCTGAGCTACTACTGGCCCTTGGCCACAGTCTCATACTCTGAGCCTTTGAACTTGCTATTTTCCCGCATATGAACACCACCTCTGGTCCCAAGAGATGTGAATAAAGAAAATTACGGCCCATGAGGAAAATTACTTGATATGGAATTAAACTGTTACGGTTCTTTTCAGTATCGGGTGGCTGTGATGGTAAAGGAAATTGAAAAAAGCAACACCATGTTAAAGTATCACAGATAATTCTCAAGAATAATAGTTGTGGTTCCATGCTTATGAATTCCCAGCAAAAATATCATAACTTCAAAATTTTCATTATATATAACATGACTAGCACAGCAAGTTTTCATAAAACTTATTTAAACTGAGAAGATAAGTATTGGCAAACTGTGACTGAATATTCTTAAGATATGTTAAAATTGAGAAAAGGAACTAGCAGCAGAACAGCTGACTACAAGAGAGAAGCATGGTTAGTTGATACAAGGAAGACAAGTGCATATATGAAAATGTCAATTACATGAGAAAGAGGAATTTGAGTAAAGCAAATCGTAAAGATCCAACTGGTAAAGGAAAATTGAAAAAGTTATCTCTCAGCCATAGTGACATTTATGGAGAGTATACCGCTATCACTGAATAATCACAAATGTGTGACTCAGAAGATTATGTCAATGTTAATGTTTTCAGTCAGGTGCTATAAGGAATAGCATATGTAAAATAAAACATGTATGTAAAAAATGTGTTACAATAAAAAAACTACAAGGTCACTGTAATATAAATAACTTATTTACTTGGTTGAGAATGTACTGAAAGATATTTGAAGTCACTAGAGGCACATGATAGAATGCTCTGATTTGGAAAAAACAAATGAATAGGTTGATTCCATAGATATTTATGAAATATTTATTATGTACTGGGTGGTGAGGGGAATAGTTGAAGCTCTTATGGGACTTACTTTCCAGTGGAAAAGATGGATGTTTATCATACAATCACTCAAATAAAAATATAGTATGTGAAAGCGTTAACTGAGAGCCCTGACCTGTCCTGAATAGCTAGGAAAGACTGTCTGAAGTACTGCAACTTGAAAATGGATGAGTAAATTAAGGGTGAAGGGAGAAGGCAAGTGGGGGAAAAGAATATTCCAAACAAAAGAAACATATCTAAAAACATTATTGGAGGGGGTGGGAGACGGAGGAGATAATGACAGGTTCTAGGAACTGAAAGACCTGATGTGAAAAAGCTTTCTTTGTACAAGGTTGATCTAGAAGTAGATCTCTGAGGATGTTTATCTGGTGTGATAGGAGAAGAAATGTTCTTTCTTAGGTGTGTATGAATGGAGAAGTCATTAGGTGTGAGCTGCTTATTCTTGTGATGGGGAAATACTGTTGTCTTTAAGGCTTGGAATGTTGGTTGCAGAATTTGAAGAGCAAAAAAGGAGACTGAATGAGCTACATTTGTAAAATTGTTTGAGATTTTGGGTCAGGAAACCACTGCTTCAGAGTTTAGGGGTTGTAATATTTTCTGGAGGTGAGGTAAGCACACTTCTTCCTTCATTAACATAAGCCCAGGACGTTGTTTCTCTCATGTCTTGGTCTAGAGTGAGTTTTATGTTCTTGATAACTGATGCCACTAACTGATAAAGCCTATGTTTGATAATAAGGATTTCTTACAAAATAATCAGTGTAAAACTAGGTAGTAATGTTTCCTCTCTCTAATTTGAACTAGGGGGTGGTATCATCTTTAAATCATAAAAGTTAGTAATATGAAAACATTACATAATTTAGCAGTGTTAAGAAAATATTTTTGGAGAATGAGTACTTAGTGTTCTTTGTAGCATATAAATATTTTCTGTGCAATTTCCAGTGTACACATTGTATATGACGACTTTTCTGAAAAGCAAATCTTATTCACATAAAATACCTTTTCATTTAAATGTACAGGTTAAGATATCTATTTGAGTTACCAATATGAAACTCTTTGCTGAATATGAAAATAATATGTTGATAAATGTGACTTTAGTTGGATTGGAGTGGGAAAGATGTGCACTGATATCTGATGATAAGAATCATTGCTACAGTGAAGAATTCACTAGAGCAGGGATACCCATTGAATTTCAATATTTTCATACTAACTGAAAAACAGACAAGCCATGCATCATTAATCTCCATTACTGGGAATAAGAACATCTGGTAGCATCTATTGTGTACATACAGTTATATATTTTTAGATAAACTGGTAAAATGCTTTTCAGCAATTTGACTGGAAATCTGAAAAATGTCTAGATGAGTAAAGTTCACAGTTACTTTTTTAAAAATTTGCATTACAATTGAGTCTCTTTATTTTCAAACTGTTTTGTGAAAGCAGGCAAAATATACTTGATTTAGATTGTTCAAAAAACTTGCAATGTTTTTAAACATAAACATATGGTATGCAAGTCAAATAAGGAGTATCATTAAGCAGAAATACATTTTTTCCATATGTTTAATTATTACCAGAAGAAAAATAATAATACATGATTTTGCTCATAGAGGATCATATGAGGATCAAATCCAAACCAATCATTTCTTTTTTGCATGTGAATTCAGGTTTTTTTCATTTTTATCAGCTAGTTGAACCCATTATATTCCAAATATAATTTAGATTTTATTTCATTA